TTTCTCAATTAGACTACAAGTCATGTATGAAGTGATTGACGTGAATATCGGTCCAAATTCCTGAATCACTAAATTCACTGTAATTTATTGAAATTATTTGCTATTTATATAGATTCCGTATTCTTATATCATTATATGTATGGTATAGTGTTTTACATAATTAATAAAATGTAGCTTCAAATAATAAACCCTTATGTGAAAAACAAAACTTGCAAAATAAAAATCAACAATTTTAAGAGTGTATAATAAAGTGTTTATTCAAAATGTTTGCTCAGTATTTGTATTCAACGTTTAAATTATATTTGAGACTAATTAATGGTTTGGTGTTAATGTAATTTGGATTGAACAATTTGTATGAAGTGGTCGACCAGTATTGGATATGTTTAGACAGACACACAATTTGATGATTACGGCTAACCATAAATCAAATACATATAACATTATATAAGTTATACGCGTATTAAATCAACGAAAACATGTTATTAATGTATCTGATATTTAGACAAATATGAATCAATGAATATCCACTTGATATGAACTAAATGATTGGTCAAACAGTTATCATAAACTCCACTCCCTTTCTCATGTGAACTACATCTCATAAGTAATTATATTTTTCGATAACAAAATCATATAATTAATGATCAAATTTAATAAGATTTCTAAAAGCGTATGAAATTAATGATTTGATTCATACATTTGACAAATGTTTGTATGTATTGAAAGAGTAGAGAATATTCTCTGCTTTCAAAACCCATTATTGAATGCTTGCCAATGATATACAGAATATAATAACATTTTATTGTTTTATTTGTTTAACTTAAGCTAAATTATATTTAAGATTTTCTATAAGATTAGTGTGAAAATTGAATACAATTAAAATCTAATGATTTTAACAAAAACAATAATTATAGGGCTATAAACTAGAAAAGTGTAAGAGTTTTTCAAGTACTTTATTAGGCAATGAGAGTGTATTTGAAGCCATAAACACATTTGTTAAGTCACTCACAAATGAATAGATAAAGTGTTGCAATATACAGTACGGTATAGTTGTCTAATGTATTCAAGCATTTATTACATACAGTATATTGTGCTCACAATATGTGACAAATAAAACGAGTCCTACACTAAACGGTACTAATGTTTCAAATATTATTAACATTTCTCGTAAATGTACTTTTATTTTTGAATGCACTTAACATTAAAACTAATTTTATTGATTAATTTATTTAAAAGTTTCTAATGACTTTTTTTTATCAATACACCGTAATATTTTAAATCTAATATAAAATTAATTTTATTTAAACTCAATATTTAAATATAAATTACTTAAAAATAAAATTATCAAATATTACATAATCTTGTCGTATAATAAACATTTATATATATTTTTTATCGGTCTGTATTAATCAAAAAAGCTATTCTGGGTAAATATTTGTGGTGAAAAATGCAGTCATAAATCTGAATGCAAAATATTTCTAATTTTGTGTATTTTATGTGATATTCAACTCAAATCCCATTCTTAATGCTGAGGAATAAAAGTGTAGTTAAAACTCGACATAATTATAAGATAATTGAGCTCTCGTTTGATGACTTACTTGAGCTAATGAGCGCTTATATTTCAACTGTTGTTCATTTAGCCATAATTATTGCAAAACTTTTAGCTAATTCTTAATCTATGATCAAAAGTGAAACTTAAAACTAATTGTTATGTCTTCCTATATATCGTACTTTTAAGCCGTATATAATACACTAAAATAAGTATAACTGGAAAGTAATTGTAATAAATAGTAATACTTAAAGAATATTCTTATATTCACGCGAAGTGTATGTGCGAGCAATACATGTGAGTTAATGAGATGATGACTTTCAGTTACAGTTTTGCAAAGACTACCAATAATGTCACAGACTTTATACGTATACATACAGTGCATACATGTAAGTTATATACGATATAACATACATTTATAGAGTTCCCGGATTTGAAACCAGATATTTCTCGCAAAATATTTATTCGTCGAGAGAAAGAAAATCAAATTTCTTGTGTTGTGTTCCACTTATAGCTTCTCTATTCAACGGATAACCTGTAGTTTCAGTGTAACACAAATGAGATATTATTTTCACTTTATTTTGTTACTAATTGAAAATGAGAGACACAATCGATAGGCAAACACAACATAAACTCCGGTTATATTCTCTACGAGTGAATCAATGTGTGAATCAATGGGTAGAGGCATAGACTCTGAAGGATTCACATCTCAAGAATATTGCAGAATATCTAATGATCTCTGACTTGTAATTAAGAATCAAATGAATGATTTTGATTCAAAGTAACACCAAAGCCATCATGTCTTCAGTGACTAACTCTAATAATAACTAATATTTTGTATAATTTTGTTTGTAAGAGAAAATAATATACTAAATATAGAAATCTTTCTTGTTTGTGAATTTAAATAAATAGTAAAAATCCAATTTATTTTTATCATAAGCCTTCTTTACATTGCAAACATTAGTCTCTCTCTCTCTCTCCCTCTCTCTCTCTCTCTCCCACTCCTCAGTCTTATACTCTTTCTCATTCGTTATCTTTGAAAAAGTTATCAAATTTTTTCCATTTTTATTAGATTTTCTTTGAAATTGATTTTGCTTTTAACTAAAAGGACTGTTTGTTCAATAATTTTGTTCTTATTTTCTGCAAAACAACTTATAGTTAACTTGAATGAAAAGTAAATTAAAATCAAACAAACAATTGTTGAGATAGAAATAGACGTATAAATATATACGCAGAAAACCTAGTAAGCTTGTAGCTTGTTTAAAAATTGAGTTAAAAATCTAATTTGAGATAAAAACAAAAATTTGAGACACAATTGAATTAAATATTTTAATTGAAAAACAGGTAAATAATGATCAATAAATAAAACTGATAACAAGAAAACCTTAATTACATTGAAGTCGGATATAGTGGAAACAGTAATAGGATTTTTTGCACTTCAATTACTTTTTGCTATCTTATATAACATTTACTTATTTGACTTAATACTGATTCTCAGCTTTTCTCTTGTTATCACCCATTGTTTGGAACAATGTTTTCAAACACTACTCTATTTTTGATTCAATTTTCACTAAACAACTCAAACAAAAATACTAATAATAAGGGAAAAGTTTATATAAAACTCATTCTTCTCATTGGAAACCATAACAAACAAATCAAACAAAAAACAGTCACTCATTAATCAAATGAATGGACAAAATGAGTGGACATAGTGTTCAGGAATCTCTCTCTTTCTTTATTTCTCTCTCTCTCTCTCTCTCTCTCCCCAACCCATCAATTGTTGAATTCTTAGCTATTCTTTATTCGCTAACAAAATAATTGAATTTCTTATTTATTGTGAATCAGACTCACAATATATATAATTTTAATGAGATCATGAAATTTCCACATTTATTAAGTGAACGATTTATATTATATAATTTATCGTGAATATTGACTTAAGATTAAATAGAAAGTTATCAATATTGCATATAATCTTAATATTCTTGATAACATAAATGATATACATTATTATTATTATTGCAATAATATTTTCAATTAGAATTAACACTGAAATTTGATAATTGAATTCTTAATCTAAGATATGTGTCTGACTTATATAGGATACCAATATTGGAATTACATTTTATTAAAGGAATATTTGTAATATAAGATACAATTCATACGGATATGTATTGTTAACATTTAGAAGTTTAAGAATTTATTATATCACATGTAAATTTACCACACAAACTTGGGTTTAAAGCTAAATATTGATCAGTGTTAGTGATTATGATTACTATTGGAAACTAATATTTTGATTCTGCATAATAAGATATGTGCTTTATATATTTCTGTGCTCATCAAATGCAATACCAGTGCTATAGATTTGTCTATAAATACATGTGAACCGACAGTAAAATGTAATATTAGACTAATCATTATTAATAGCATTAAACATCAAAAATATTAAGAATTATTGCATAAAAGGCAATAAAATGTGAGCTAAGGATTAGATTATTAGCCATTATTTGGTTTTGTTTCATAAATATATATTTATATACAATAACTGTAAATGGTCTATAAATCATAAAAATTAATAAACAAACTTTCATAATAAACAGTGTAATAGTTTTACATTCAATCTTAATTGACTTTTCTTGTAATTACAAGCATTTAGTTATTGTTTGAATATGCTTTTCAAGTTTTTGCACTCATTTTCATAATTTCCTTTATAAAGTCTTATAATGTAACAAATACTACTTAACTAGTTTGAAATTAGTAGATGTTAAACATTTTGAAAATTTATATAACACAATAAATTTTCCAATAAATAAATATTATATTATATAATGTAATAAATATTGAGTCTCAATTTAATAGAATATTCTTAATTAGGAATAAATATATTGAACATTAAAAGGTATATCAATCACAACAGATTTATTGGACACAAATGTTTGGACACATATTTGATGAGCAAATGTTGTATTTTATATATATTTTGGTTAAATATATAGATTTGTCAAGAAAAGGTTATGTCAGGAATGTTTCAAAATTAGTTATAAAATTCAATCCAAATATTTAGCTAGAATTTCAACTAATTATGAAATAATTCTGTAATTAGAGTTTCAGTCTTATCTCAGCCTAAAATTGAAATCATTTTGGAAATTCAATTTTTAAAATTTTAGTCAAATATTAAGTTAATGTTTAGAACCATAATCAGTATCTTTAGGATCTTAAGTTTGATCATAATTAAGTCAATAGTATATTCACACACAAAACTGCTAAATAAAAAATAAATAAAACGAAATATAACATATAATAAAGTAAAAACTTTAAATTAGTAAAATAAGTGATAAAAACGATATCATTATATCAATGATTAGTTTTCGCATAAATTATATAAATAATGAAAACTTAAACGTAAATGATATATAATAAACAAATACTATTATACAGTAGTATAGACTTAATGCTGATTAGGATTGTGAGTGTCCGGCGCGTGAGCACCGGTAGCAGCGGCTGTCTGAGCAGGACTAGGACTGGGACTTCGATCGGTGGACTTACTAGAAAAGTTGCGAGTGGCCAGCATTGTGGTCAGTATAGCGCCCTTGAGTTTTCGTCTGGCGTTGAATTTCTTAAGGCAGTCCACTGTCTCCTGTCTGTGCAGTGTTGAGGCCACCCGTTCCCGTTGACAGATCCACGGGTGCTTCAATGCCTCGGCCGCTGTGATCCGTTTTGCGGGATTCACGGTCAGCATTGAGTTGATAAGGTTCTTGGCTTCCGGAGTCACTGTATCCCATTCTGGAGAGGGATACTACCCGTGCCAATCAAGGGTATGGCCGCAATTTGTGTGTATATCCCCCGGTTTAATGCGCCAGTAGTTGTTGGTGCCATTGAATCGATATAGTTTTGTGTCGACAGAAATTGTCAGTTTTATCAATACCATGATAAATGCAAATAGATTTTCGTCACATTATTCATGCGTTGATATTTAGTTGTTGTTTTGTTGTCATGATGGATGAAATAACATATTTTTTCCATAAAATTTTGTGAACAATTTTTTTGTTGGCAAAAATTGTGATGAAAATTCATACGAATGAATGAGAAATAAATATTAAATTTAGTTTTATTTTGCCGTTTGTATTATATTTTGAGTTTTTAGTGCAACTAAGTTATTCAGTAGCATTCATACTATGAATATTGCAGTGAATAAAAATTATTTATTCATTTAATTGTTTAATATTGAACAAATGCTACTATTTATAATGATAATGAACACTCACATCATAAGCTCCGGCCTTTATTTGTGCATAAAGTCTGTGCTGATCCTCATCCCAAAATGGGGGGTAACCAACTAATAATATATACAGAATAACCCCTTAAGAAGAAATAAGAGACAATTAATAGTTTGCTAACAAATGGGCGTATTTTTTGAAGGTCTTACCACAGGCCCAGATATCTACAGGTTTACCGTACGGGTCCTTCTTAAGAACTTCAGGTGATAAATAGCCAGGAGTTCCCGCAAAACCTAATTCAACGATAAATTAACTCATTGTATGGCTATTATAATAAATTACAGAATGAAATATAAATAAAAGTTTTGTCCATTAATTATGATACTGGCTATATTAAATTATATATTATAAATTAACCCTTAAGAATGTATATTAATAATGTCTAAAATTTAATGCAAAAATTAATTAACTCTTTTTAATATTTTTGAATACAAATTCTGAACGACTGATAAAAAGCAATATAACAACACATCGAGTGTGTACTACAAGTAAAATATTAATACATTGAAATAAATAATAGATTAACAAATGTATATAATAAAATGATTGTGTATTTGATGTCATACAATATTCACTTAATATTATTGTTCTCCTATTGACTATTCAATACACTTTGTACGGAAATAGCAAGAAAAACGAGTAAATGGTGAGAGAAATGGATGGCATATAACAATGCGGCACAAACTGGGGCATACATACCATACCAGGCCTGTTGCTCTCCCTGCACTTCGATGGCCAGCCCAAAGTCAGCCAATTTGACGGCAGCGCCTTTCGCTTTACTCGCTAGTAATAGATTTTCAGGCTATTAA